AGGGCCTCCAAAGGAAGCAAAAGCCTGCAACACTTTGTTTTTGGACTTCTGGCCTCCAGAACTATGAGAGAATATATTTCTGATGTTTTAGGCCACAAAATTTGTGGCAACCTGTTATGGCAGCCCCAGGAAACGAATACCCAGATCCAGAGGTGATGCCTGGACAGGCGACCCAACCTTGCTTCCCTGCGGGCTCCTGGTACCAGCCTCACTAAGATCTTGGCTCCATGCTTGGTTCTTCTGCCTAAAGATCAACAGGGGGAGTGGCCTTCCTCCATTCTACCCTGGAGCCTCTTGTCGAAAGCCCACCTTAATCTGAGGACAACCCACGTGTTTTTGCACACACAGTCTCCTTTGCTTGAAAAGCTTGTTCTCTCCTTTTCCAGTATTCAGGTTATCTTAGGCATCTGGGCAATGCACACTGCACCCAAGGGCTCTGAATCTTTGCGCTCTACCGGGTATCCTGATTCTGCAGGCAGAGCAAGGGCTCAGCACTTAGAGAGGTCTGAGCCCCTGTTGTCTCATCTGTAGAATGGGATGCCTTGGCTTGCATGAGCAGCATTGCCCGGAGTGAGTCTGGAATCAGGCTGCGTAGGGTCCCATCTTCCTGGAACACCTTCCCAGCCCTTCATCTCCTGGCTAAATCTTATTCCCCTGGGATGCTCTTCTAGTATCTCCTGCTCTGGATGCTAGGAACCCCTCCTCTCTGCTCCTTTAGCCTCTGGCCTCCTTCAGCCCGGTACTGGTCACCCCCAACTGTCCTTATGCTGTCAGTGCACCATGTGGTGAACTCTCTGGGACTTCTCTTTGTCCTCTGGATTCTGACTTATGCTTGGCACTCAGGAGGTGCTCTACATTAAGAGCAGATAAAAGAACCATGGTAGATGGCACGCTGAGGTCCCTCAGGGAAGATGAGGGCAGACGAGCACAGTGGGGAGGGTAAGGAGAGATTAGACTGTCTGTTCAGAATTCCAGCTCTTCTGGGCTTTTGAAATTTGGGGGAGATCCTTGGCTTCCCTATGCCTCAGTCTGATTATCCATAAATGTGTTTTTATAAATGTTAAATGAAGCAATGCATAGATATCACTTACTACCATGCTTAGCAAATTCTAGATGCTGTTGTTGGTTTTGTTATTATTATTATTATTATTATTATTATTTGAGTTGGAGTCTCACTCTGTCACCCAGGCTGGAGTGCAGTGGCACATTCACGGACACTGCAGCCTGGACCTGCTGGGCTCAGGTGATCCTTCTGCCTCACCCTTCCAAGTAGCTGGAACTACAGGCACGTGCCACCATGCCCTGCTAATTTTTTGATTTATTGTAGAGATGAGGTCTTGCCAAGTTGCCCAGGTAGGTCTCAAATTCCTGGGCTTAGGCAATCCTCTCACCTCTGCCTCCCAATGTGCTGGGATTAGAGGTGTGAGCCACCATGTCCGGCTATTATTATTATTATTAACCTATATGTGAAATCACTTGATCCACAGTAGACAGTCATTAAACAGTAGACAATATTATAATTAAATAGCGGCAGCAAAGTGCAGAGTGGGTTCTGGGCTCTACAAGAGAGTTCCCCCCTTACTAGCTATGTCCTCTTGGTCATCAACATGACTCTCGGTAACTCTGCCTTCTCTGTAAAATGGACATTATACCATTGTCTCTCTTAAAAGCTCATAGTTAGGGCTTTGTAAGTATTTGTTAAACAAAAGAACTAAATGATATGTGAAAATGGTCTACCCCCTACAGCAGGTACTCAGTAAATGGTGATTGCTATTATTGTCATGATTTCTCCTGTGACCATGGCTAAAGCTTAGGGCAAAAGACCCCACAATCCAAGTTCCAGAAGCTCCCAGCAGATGGGACCCAGCCATCTATCTGCAGGTCTTATGAGAGAGGTGCCAATTCAGAAGAGGCCTTGCCACCTACCCCCCTCATCTGCTGTCTACCCTCAAGACAGTAAGAAGACGACTGAAGTAGAAGATGCCATCTACAGTCAAGAAAGAATCACATTCATAGAGATAGGAGCAAGGGAATGTTGGTGGTGTGAGTTAGGAGTGTGTGTGAGTGTTGAAAATAATCAGTGTAGCCAGGCTCGGTGGCTCAGCCTGTAATCCCGCGTTTTGGGAGGCTGAGGTGAGTGAATGGCCTGAGCCCGCGGGTTCAAGACTCGCCTGGGCAACTTGGTGAGACCTCATCTCCACAATAAATAAAAAATTAGCTAGCATGGTAGTGCACGCCTGTAGTTCCAGCTACTTGGAAGACTGAGGCGGAAGGATCGCCGGAACCCAGCAGGTCAGGCTGCGGTGGCCGGGAGCAGTCACTGCACTCCAGTCTGGGCGACAGAGTGAGACTCCAACTCAAAAAAAAACAAAAAACAAAAACAAAAACAAAAAAAAAAACCAAAAAACAAAAAAGAAAATAATCAGTGTTAAATTTGGGGGTGTCTGCAACAAGAAGGGGCTTGCGGTTCATACTGGGGGTGCCTACAGGAAGGGGAAGTTGGTGCTTCTTTTCCTGTAGGAAGTCTGCTTATCCTGTCTTACTGAGCCTTGTACTATCTGAGCAAAGAGAAGACAACTAAAGGGAGACGGCATGGTGGGAGACGGCCAGTCAATACTGCTCCTCCTACCCCTAAGGGCCAAGTCTCAGTTCCTGGCCTTGGAGCTTGGCAGAATGAAGACGAGGGTAGTGGCCACAGCTTTGTCAAACTGCTGCAGAACACGGGACAAAAAACACCACATGCCAGAGGGAAGTTCTGTGTCGTCAACTGGGGTGGGAGGAGACGTGCTGAAAGGGGACAAACAGCTCAAGAAATCAGCAGTGCCTGGGAAACAAGTCCTGATGGCAGCAGGTTTTGATGGGGTCACCATCTGTCCTCATCAGTGTAGATCAAAACTAGGGCAGCAGCACTTGTCCACCTAGCCAACACCACATCTTTGCCCAGTTAAGGCAAAGGCATTTGCTCGATTCTTTTCCTCCTTTTCCACCAGAAGGTTTTTCCACCAGAAGGCTTAGAGCAGTGTTCTCAATGTTGGCTGTACACTGGAGTCACCAGGGAGCTATAAAATTCCTGATACTGGGGCCATATCCTCTAGAGATGATAATGCAATGAGTCAAGGGAGCAGCTGAGCACTGTGGCTCATGCCTGTAATCCTAGCACTTTGGGAAGCGGAAGCAAGAGGATTGCTTGAGCCCAGGAGTTTGAGACCAGCCTAGGAAACATAGTGAGACTTTGTCTCTACGAAAAATAAAAAAATTAACCCAGCATAGTAGTGTACACCGGTGGTCCCAGCTACTCAGGAGGCTGAAGCAGAAGGATTGCTTGAGCCTGGGAAGTCAGAATTGTAGTGACCCATGATTGTGCCACTATACTCCAGCCTAGGTGACAGAGTGACACTCCAATTAAAAAAAGAAGTCAGGCGTGCAATCTGGGTTGGCGTGGCAGATTAAAAGTGGTCATAATACCTTGCAACTCTTCCCATTAAAAGGTAGAATCTACTTCCCATCTCTTGAATCTGTGCTGGCCTCATTGAATTGCTTTGACCAACAGAATGTAGCAGAAGTGACATGTGCAAATTCTGAGCTAGGCCTCAAGAAACCTTACAGCTTCAAGTCTCACTTTCTGGGAATGTTGCTGCCATTCAGACAAGCCAGGGCTGGCCTACTGGGGCACGAAAGGCCAAGAGGGGAGAGAGGTCCAGCCATCCCAGCAGTCCCACATGAGGCCCACACAAATGTGAGATCCCAGCCAGCAACACATGGAGCAGATGAGCCATCCCAACTGAGCACAGCCCAAATTACTGACTAACAGCATACATACCAAATAAATAATTGTTGTAGCTTTAGTTATAAGATATATGACTAAAATAGCTTCCCAGATGATTCCAATGTGCAACCAGAGCCGCAAACCACTATGCTAGAGAGTAGAAAAGGGAAGTGAGGAGGTGTCCAGAGTAGACGGTGTCTCCTTCTCTACAGCAGCCTTCCGGGGTCACTGCTCTAGCTTGTCCTCAGGGGAGGGGAGGAGATGAGGTCTAATTCAAGTTTAAACTTGAAGTCTTAATTACTCAGTAACACTGTTTTAACAAGTAGAAGTGACTGAAAATACATGAATCAGATCATGCCACTGCTAAGAAGCCTGCTGCTATTCAGTGGAAAAGACGATTTTCTTTCTCTTCTTTTTTTTTTTTGAGTTGGAGTCTCACTCTGTGGCTCAGGCTGGAGTGCAGTGGCAGGTTCACGGCCACCGCAGCCTCGACCTGCTGGGCTCAGGCGATCCTTCTGCCTCAGCCTTCCAAGTAGCTGGAACTACAGGTGTGCACCATCACACCTAGCTATTTTAAAAATCTATTTATTATAGAGATGAGGTCTCACCAAGTTGCCCAGGCTGGTGTCAAACTCCTGGGCTCAGGCAATCCTCTCGCCTCAGCCTCCCAATGTGCTGGGATTACAGGCGTGAGCCACCATGCCTGGCAGAGATTTTCAAAGTATATGGCTGGAGACAGCTATGAGAAAAATGATAACTGTTTTGTTTTTGTTCAGCAAGTAGAGGCTCTTCAATCAACCAGTGGCCATAAACGAGAGATCATGGCACAGGCCCTGGCAGATAGCAGACAGGAGCTGCTCTTATTATTAGTCTGAACTGTGCCTGGTGCCATGTATCTCAGGTATTCCGTAACCAATACCTGCTACTATCATCATCATTATTAGTAGTAATTATTATCCTTGAATGTGAATAGACCTAATACAGTGCCTGGCCTAAGGCACGTGTCCAAGGAAAAGTAGCGATGATTATTATACATGGGAAGTCTAACACAGAAGAGGTCATAGCAAAGAGAGGACACTATGACTATACCCTGAATAAAGGTACTTGACTTGGAGCATGGCGACAAGACCACATGAAGTTGCTATCACAGTCGTGTGGGGAAGGGCCTGGCCCAGGCTGCCACAGCAGAGGAGCGGGCCCGGGGGGCGAGTACAGGCCGCCACGTGGCTCTTACCTTCGGGATACTTGTAGAGGCCCGTGATGTCCACGCGGGAGTCGCTGCCCACGGCCTTGGTGCTGA